AGTTTATGACAGCACACAAATTAGTTTTCTGTAGTAGAGATGGCCAAAAAATGGTCAGTGGCTTAGTATTTTTTCGAAAGTGTAGCCTTTTTTGGGCGAAAATCTCCCTCAGAATGCCTAATTTCTGACTGGTTCCCTCAGGTGGTGTCGTTGCAAGCTAGAAATTCCGGCTGGTCTAGGACTCCTCGTGATGGTTCACATGCCCGTTGATCAGAAAAGTACATTAGATCTAATCTTACCCAAACGGAAAGCACATGTTTGCAGAATAGTTACGCGTTTGTTAGACACGTTGGCTGTTATCGCAACTCCCAGCTGGCTTCAACAGAACCCTGTCGAAATCGTCTTATTTGGGAGGGAGATGGTCCTTCTACGAAGACGTTCACTGGTCACTGAATTTCTCTCCAGACTTGCCAAGAAGCTGGGAGATTTACCTGCTTGGCATATAACTGATTAGTAATGCGTAAATGGACCCAACATATCCTACTTGGGATTGATAGAGATTTACTAAGAAGATCGATGCTCCTTTTCCGATTCTTTCGCCTCGTTTATTAGGTCCACCTACCCAAACTGTATTCCTGCGATACTCACGCTTATCGTTTTGCAGCTATTTACTTTGTTTTGTGGAATGAGATCAGTTAGGAGTGCAATTTTATGTTGATTTCACATAGTAAGACAAACGATGTTGGAAAACCTAAGAGTCTTACCTGATTGTTCCCGATTTCTACCCAGTAACGGTAGATGAAATACTGGTTTACTAGTATTCAGTGAGATCGCCAGAACCGTGGTATAAGCAGTCGCATAATACACAGTGTTCACCAGGTTTAGACTCTGGAGTATAATACTTAATTCAAAAACATTTACGGTGAGATTGTCCAACTTCACCCTTACTTCCAGGCTAGCCCGGTTTCCCAGATATTTTGGGGATTTTTCAACCCGATGAAAAATTTAATGGGTTATTGTGATTTACCACAAATAATTCTATTCTCCTGCAACTCCTCAACGAGGGCCAAAAAGTAGAGGTTGTGAATCCTCCTCAGTTTCATGTAATCTTGCCATTACAAATGAAGGGAAGAAAGCCATTTGCTGCAGTCATTTGTTAGCAAACAGGGACTATGCAGTTACAAGTCACTAGACATTAGAAAGTAAACATCTCACATACGCCTAGTCTTTAAAAACTGAACAGTTTAACGCCTCCTCTTGAAATGTCCCAGCACAACTGCGTAACGTTCAGGGGGAATGGCTACCGTTGATGATGGAATGTACTAACAGCCGATGGCCAGCGTCTGATTTTACAGGTATTTGAATCACCAATGAGGATTGGTGGCATTATTGCGCTTACTATTGTGAGTGGTTATGCACTTAGTACGAATAAATTATCACAGTGGCTAGTCAGTGATTTGGACGAAGTCAGAAGCAGCATGATTAGTGGCCTATCACGCAATCCTGACGGATAGAGTGCGCGTTTTGGACACGTTTTTTAGAGTAGCGATTATCACTACTTCCAGCAACTATGTACCGATGAAGAGCACTTCGACTTATCTCTCACTTTGAACTGTGCCAGACATACCAGTGTTTCACGAACTTTATCAAAAGCTAGTAAGCGGCGGCTCTCACATGCCCTCGCTGCCCCCTTGTTGGACGTTTCTTTTGGGCTGCGATCCACTTATTGTTAACATGAAATTGATGAGTGATTTCATAAGCCACACAACAAACAGCAATTCCAAACTGTTTGGACAAACACAGTAGCCGAATAAAATTGGCCGCGCGTGCTGAGGGTGAACACAGAATTATGGGTTTCCTGAATTGTAGGTTGCCCTGATAACGCGAATCATGAATTCCCGGTGGGGAGTCGCAAGAAACTTATGCATTCCAACAGGTCCCTGGATTATTAATGCTCACATCCGCACTACCTCAAAAGCGCACTCATCCAACCCTTGGGACTCACGTCAAGAAGCTGTGTGTCCATAAATGAAAATAAACTGAGACGACCCAATAGAGCGTTACATTAAAATAGATATCCGAAAGGTCTCATTGACCAATAAATGGTGAAAACTGTACCTGAGACTGCAACACAGGCAGACAAAAACCCAGTGGCCATTGTACGAATAATCTGAATAGATGGTGTTTGCGAAGACAACCGGAATAACTTCAGAATCATCATATGAGAAAGTTCTTCCGGTTCGATAACACCCCACAACGGTACGTCGTAAGAGCTGATGACATTGTCCAACCCAGGCACTGCACAAACTGCGCTTACGAAACTCCCTGTGCTGAATGTCCGGCTGAATACTTAGACCAGAATGGCAAACGACTCCAGGTATAAACCACTCAACACAATCGACATGCGAGATTGCTTCCACGGAATCCAGTTGAATTTTAAAGAGCTCCAACGCATGCAATACACCCGAGTCATACAACCGAATCGACGTCACCAGTACACGTAACTGGGATTTAGGTTACACGTTGAAACGAACGTACGACGCAGCACCAGAAGCTAGCTGCCTCAAGCGCTTTCACGGTTTGGATTTACTGGATTACATCTGGCTTAGATGAATCAAATATTCTGTTAGGCACGAGTGCCGGGAACCAAGTAGGAAGCTGAACAATGAAGCAACTCAACGGACACAACAGCAGATCAAGCAAGTTCCCAACCAAAGCACACAAAGTGACACCCTTGAGGAGCTAACTCACACACAGCTACTGATCGCAGCTCATCCTGCGAACACGCCGATCAAAGGACATCATGATGAACCCACATAATGCTGTGCTTGGCCCGCATCCATTTGATTGCAGAAAACCTTGAAGAAGGTGATCCACCGCGCCCGAAATTTCGGACTAAAACATCTTATTGCGAAACAGTCTTTTGTCTCCAAACGTTCCCTAAATGAGTTTCCGCTCCACATATATGTGAGCTCTCAGCATGCATGACACTGATCTCAAAACACGCAACTAATTCACCACTTGCATAATTCATCGTCGTGTCCAGTGGTTCGGGCATGTGACCCTTTTGTGGCTGTGTCATGTGAATCTGTGCGGCCTGCAGACTAGCCCAAATTACTAGATAGATAGTATGCCTATAAAGGCGACCTCCTCGAAGTCGTAACTCTTCGATCGGGAACCAGTGAGAGTTGTGCATTGATACAGTGGTTCCTAATCTTCTTCTCATAGCCAAATCATTTTGTAAAATCTCAAGTTTCAGGTAGAATGCCGAATCCGCGGTGAAATCGTCGCTTTAGTTAACTCATTAGTCCGTTATTTTACACTATGATGGGTTTTCTTCTCTAGTGTTGTATAGCAGAATCAGATTGGACTGTTGATGTTCCTTTCAGCTAAGGTGCGCCTTATCAGTGTTTATAATATATAAAACATACCGGTAACTACTCCATTTTTATTTCACAACATCACATTTCATCAATTAAAGATGTGGGGTGGTTGGGCCTGCGCAAATGGTACACTTGGGATTTCGGCTTACTTTGTAGTCTGCACGGGTCAGGGACAATATAGCACTGTAGAATCTGCTTAATCAAACACATCACAAAGAACCACTAGTCAGTTTGGTGCAGCTATTTTTCTCGACTGTTAGGCCATTCTATCTGTGTTCAAGTCATAAACCAGTCTTCGGCTTGTTTTCCATGATGATACTGGGCTCATCCCGACATAATTTCCCTAAGACCCTAGCGCTTGAACTAGTATCTACCGTTATCTGGTTACTGTGACCCTAGGAAATCTTCTCCGTGAAAGCCTGACACAAGATACGACAGCTTCACTTACAATTGAACTGAGCTAAAATCGCCAGCGCTGAGGTAGATCAGGATTTGTGGTCGGGACGAAGCTGAGCAGTTGAGTAGGCTAGAATAATAATACTTTACCGCCTAATAAATTCGCCTCTTCCCACCGGAAAAGGGCTGTCCTATCTAGTTCTACTGAACTGGATCAGTGCCGGTCTGTATGAAATATAATTGACAAAAGACAACATATCTAGGTCTCAGGAACCTAGTTTCTAGAGTGAACAATTTTCATCCATTGTTGTTGCATCTTTGCTGCTGCTGCGCGTCTGAACATAGAAATACGCAGCGACGTTTCAGTACATTCCGCTGAATGCATCAGTCTTTCAGTTTCCCGTTGAGGGTTGCAGTGAGTGGAAGGCATCTTGTGGTCAAGTGGAACTAAGAAAATTTCGTTACAGTAGTTGTGCTTGTGCTCAAATATCAACGTTCATACTGTTGAACGACCTTTCAATAAAGCCATCCTCAGACGACAGCGTAAAATTGTGTTCACGGTTTAACTTTCGGAAATCCAGCCTCAAACCTTGGTAGGTCGTGTATGAAATTTGATTCAAGGCAGTTGTTGGCCGACATAAACAGCCGCTTTACTACTGTTGACTTCATCGAGTCTCACAACAGACCTTGCAATAGTGCTGGAATATGGAAGTAACGAAGAATCAGAATCAGAATGATAGCCATTATTGTATCACAGAAGAACGATGAAGTGCTCTGATACGGATCGACTGACAGGTATCAAGTTTGTGATTTCAACCGAAATATCACTTTATGAAAACAAACCTCGTTTGAGGCAGAGATTCTGTGATACAGATCCTTGTGAGAGATTAGTCCTTGAGGAGAGATAATACTACTTCAAACGTTATGTCTAGAGGTGGAAACATTTAAAATGAGGTGAGAACGCTTTCCTACAACAATCAAAATCTGTGCTAAGCTGTTCTGCCTCAAATTACGCATGTGACTCTGCTCACCACTCTTTATTACAGTGAGCTTGGTGTGTCAAGGTAATCTTTACAGTATCTCCACGCTTTTCATGACTTGCCGAACAACAGCCAAACTCGCCGGGTAAACTATAAACCAAGTAGGGCATTTCGGTTGAGAGGACACAAGTTAACTGGACACTCCTCGTGAACCTGCTTTGCTGATCAGAACACAATTTTGATCAGCAAGACGAACAACAGAGGGAAAGTAGAAAGTTAATACCCACATTTCCGTACTCACAATTTGTAGGGCAGCAAAATGCTTTAATGTTTGTCCTTGTTGATCCACAGAGTAAACCTGCCGCATTTGATTATATTTTGAAGTAGCAATCCTAACCTTGAGTAACGTTCAACAGACAAGTAGATGGTTCCAGAACGACGGTGTTGACGGAATAACCTTGTATTTCACTTCTCTATTTTTATTTAGTACTTGAGTTACATGCGATCATTGCCTAAATACTAGATGAATATGCCAAAGAATAATATACTGTTGCACTACCGCTCTGATGCGGCTCATTCAAATCGTTTGTGAAGAACGCCTCTCGAGATAGATAGGATGGATATACAGTAATTCTATGAGTGATAAAACAAAGACAAACAAGTATGAAAACAGGGATAAGACAAAGTATGAACACATTGGTTGACTTCTCAACGACTTATGGACGCTCCTCAATGATGGCCATTCTCAAGCTCGGACATAATGCGTAGCACAAGTTCCTCGCGGAATGGTTTGGCTACAACTTGAACACCCAATGGTAACCCGATGGTGTCTAATTGCATGTTCATCAGCTGTTCGTGATACTGATCACCACATTGTTTGAACTTCTCCGCATCACTTTTCGCTTGCTCCAGATCCTCAGAACCAACTAGCCCCATTGGGACCGAGCCCGCTGGATAGTCCAACAAATTATACATAAGGACATATATCACCGATGGGGTTATGTAGTGCGATGGTGTGCTAAGGTTCATGGCAGGGTAGGCCCATACCGGGCAGATTATGGCGTCAAGATTGCCGGCCCCTTTCCAAGCCTTAGCAAACTCTTGTCTATATTTTTTTACCCGTCCCACATGCTCCATCAATTCGGCGACACTATCAACCTTGCGGATCATTTCACAAACTGCCGCCGGTTTCCCGATCGATTTTCTGACATGTGCGTCAATCAACGGACGAACACCCTCGGGCATCGAGGCCATCCGTTTGATTGTTTTTGAAGCTTCGCTCAAGGGTTCACCGTTCAAAAAGCTTGCTAGGCCTTTGAGTCCATCAACGGCACACGACCTCAGACCCAGTGAAAAAGCATAAAATGGTTTGGGAGGAGTGAACTTTATCAAGGTATGTCCACGCTGAGATAATTTGTGAACAGCTTGCCTGACTGCTCTACGCACTGAGGGAACAGTCTGAATAATATCTGAATCATCGATAGATTCATAGAAGCCAATAACAAGGTTTCGTTTGTCTTTCCCCAGGTATACTTCTTCATTGAATGGAAGGACAGGTAGGTATGGGTCTAATTCAAACATGGTTGGAGAGAGCAGTGTTCGCATCAATTTGGCGAGGTCATCCACACGTTTGCCAATTGGACCGATACAGACTTCCAGTTCAACAGTGGATTGAGGGACTAGCTCAGGCGAACCAATAGCACTAATACGTTTGGAAGTTGGCTTCAAACCTGCTAGCCCACAAAATACAGAAGGTATCCGGATACTCCCTGCGAGATCAGTCCCTAATCCTACAGGTGAACCATTTTGGGCCAATAACACAGCTTCACCGCAAGAACTCCCGCCAGCTTCATGCTTATCTGAATGAGGATTCCACAGGTTCCCGAAGATTGGATTCAAGCCGCTCTGTGTAAAGGCTGCTTGAGTTGTGGACGTCAGTACGAAAGGAATGGCACCAGCATCTTTGAGTACCTGGATCACAACGCTGTCCTCTTTTGCCGGTTTTTGACACAGTTTCCATAGCCCGAAAGTAACATCGTATCCGCTTACACTACACAGCTCTTTGACGCTGATGGGAATACCGAACAACTCCGACTTAACTGACGGACGGTTTTCCGTCAGTTGGGAAGCTTGCTCTTCTGCTTCGTTGATAAACTGGCAAATACCGGAGTTGCCTTTCTCTTGAAGTTTCAGTCCCTTCAGTTGAAACGCGTGCAAGAGATCTAGCGGAGTAGCCGCTTTATGTTTAAGTTTGTCCTGAAGTTCCGTCAGAGACAGCTCGGTCAAGGAGAGCAGTTCATCGCTTGATTTCTTCAAGTCAGTTAGATTCGCTTTGATGTCTTCAAGACTTTTTTGCAACTGGGCCTTCTTCAAGTCTTTTATTTTCTGCATTGTATTGACTTTTGGCTCAGTCCAACTGATGAGCTGAATACAAAACGAATGAGGGACTGTTTACTGTCTGCGTAAACTGTCAACTTTTCACACGCATTGGAGTCAAGCAAACCAAAATTATTACGAAACAGAACAGTTTCGGATGAAATTAGCGAAATGCACTCATGTGCAAACAAATTTGGCTTTGCTAGAGACTCACCGAGAACCCAGCTGAATCTCTTGTTTGTGATGTTTCCAGGTGACTGATGAATTTGTAAAATGCAGCTCGCAACCTTCAGTGTCTGTTGAATCAGCTAGGAACTAGTTATATCCCGCATCCAAACTTGGCAAAAGCAATCATTCGGACAAACAAGAACGGTATTTTGCAGCAAGAAGAAATTGCCTTAGCTCTTAGTACCGCTTAAAAGATACGCACGGTTCGACAAGGTCAAAAAAAACATGTTACATATGAGTAAGAGGTAAATTTTCTCGCTTCGGACATCTGTGTACAGGTCTTATACTGAGCTGATAATATCATGCCGCATCACGCTGAAACAATTGGATAAGGAGAATGATGAATGCACCAAAATTCATCTCCTCAAAAGCAGTTCCTCCTTCAGTCCTTGGGACTTAGATGAGACTCCCGTTCACTGACTTCCGATCCACCGAATTCCTTCGTCATAAATACGAAAGTCATGATAACTTCATGATCCCTTCTAACATCGCATAGTGTCGAATTTACGTGTATTTATCCTCTTTCCTCCAAACCAAGAAGGCTCACCTGACTGAAAGGATGACGAGAGTAAAAGAACTCAAGCAGATGGCGTACCGGGAATATCAATAAAACTACCGTGCTGGATCCGAATGCAACAACAAAAGTAGTGAACAATACCTGCAGTTTTTCACATGCGCACTGAACTTCTGACGAGTCTTGATATGACAGTCCGGCGAACAAAGCCGGCCATCAACGCACTCCGCCGGTGAGCGCGTCCAATTTAAGGCTCGCTCTTGTACACGTCCGGACCAACAATCGTCTTGTGAACTTATCCCCTCAAATTACCATGTTCTGATCTAGCTGTCCAGCTAATATATCCACCGTGGGCTTTATTGATGGCGCTTGATAAGTTGCTCTCAAAAGTCCAAACTCTCAGGTGGGTATACTAATCCCAAGGGTAGTATTATGCGCCAAATTCCTATGAAATCATCGAACTACATGTAGGTGCTGTCTATAAGTGGAAAACTAATAAAACTGTTTCTGAAAACTCTGACAACCGACAAACGGTTTCATTATTGTTGTGACTTATCAGGTAGGTAAGTCTTGGAATTTTCTGTTGACTTAACCCCCCATGTAGAGAGTAAATGACGCACAGATGCACCATTGTCAAGAAGGTTTGAGGGGTGCACGCAGCTGCGATAAACCGTACAAAACATTTTGTGTGTATATAGCCACAGAGTATTTTGTGACCCGCTATAATACCCTTGCAAACAACTGCTGTTGCACATGGGACGTGTGGATCATCTACCTGGCAGCTCAAGTACGCTGACTGATTGTAAATAAAGTAAATAAACATGCGGTTGACGAAATCCTTGGGGACTTTGCCTACCTGATGAGCCCCTAAAAGGTGAAACCGGTCGCGGTGTATCGACCGATTTTCAGAAACCTCATGATTAGTGTACCATGTTTATAGCTGTTTATCCGTTTACTCGAGGGCAGATCCATGTATCCTTTCACGGCCTATGGGGCATTTGTCGATTAGAATGCCTTTACAATGCACAGCCCGATGAAAGGGTTCATCACCTACTGAGCTACTGCAACTTCTGTTGATTTCGTTCAACGTTCTTCAGCTTCCCGTTGCCCCTTCCACTTGCGGCGGACATATTTTTCTACACAGTCACCGGACTGCTTAGCAGGAAAATCCGTAAGACTGTGGATTACATTTCTAATTGACAAGCTTCAACTGAAAGGGGCGACAACTTTAAGAAAGAATGTGCAAGATGCAACTCAGAATGCCAGCTTCATAGTGCCTGATTACTCGGATAGTGCTCCAAACTGAACCAACCAGAATACAACGAAATCCATCTATTCATAAACTTATCCCAACACCTAATAATTCTTAGGGTTAGCATACACTCTATTTGGTAAAGTGGTGAATTTAACACTCTGTGAACCGATTTCGATGTATTAATTTGGTTCAAACGTCGCGTTACATAAAATGATTCACCCACCCTCAGGAAGAGCCAAGTTGCTCAGTACATTCGACCACATAATATTGGCTGAGTGAGCTTTTGGGGATATATCTACTGAAATCTAAAAGTCATGCACAAAGACGATGAAAGCGAAGGCTGACAGTGGCGTTTTGCACGCAAACAGACGCTGGTCTCATAAGGATAGTCACACTCAGGAGGTAGTTTACAGCAAGTTTTCGATCATGCAATGGAACGGGCCTTCAAAGGAACCAACCACTGCACCAAGTGCTTACCATTCTTTCTTCTTACCATCTAACAACAAGTCGGCTGCGAACACCTTCATTTCAAATAAAGATACGGCGTTTCACACACCTTCTGGTTTCTAATCCATACGACTCAGGGATCGGCAATCAAAGACGCTTCTCGTGTGTGTTCTCAGTATGGTTTATTACGATAGCGATCATCGGAGTTACATATCAGATTTGACATGCAATAACATTGCTGGTCTGTCACATCTTCGCACGTTTACATGATCAAGATCTACAAATTACAAATCTCAGAAGCATCATTTGATTGTAGCTTACAATCAGTTGAAGCTAAGTATGTGGGAATACATGCAAACAAAGACAGGTTTATGGACGTAATGCACTACTAGTAAGGTTGCCGAATACTTTTCGACAGCCCGCGACGGGTTTCGCCCCTCTTGGGGCTTATCAGGTAGCTTCAGTCGCCGAGTTCACTTCAAAATTACGTTCTAACTGAACCCAAAATGGATAGCTTGAGAACATCATAAACGAGAGATTCAGCTTGGATTATCTGCTTGGCTCAGTCTGTTTTGTTCGATTACCCACATCATGTTATTCAAGTAGCACACAAGGTTGACTTCATCTCGTGAGCTTCAGAAGGGCGAAACCGTCGGTAGAGCATCGAAGGGCTTTCAAAACGCCTTATTGATAGTGTTACTCCTTTTTACACTAAGCAGCGAGTATAATTTTACATATTTCATTCAACCATATAATCACAGCAGATTACTCTCTCCGATGGCCACAATGACCTTGCGCGTTTCAGTTGGGAGCAACTGAACCCAAATGGATAGCTTGAGAACATCATAAACGAGAGATTCAGCTTGGATTATCTGCTTGGCTCAGTCTGTTTTGTTCGATTACCCACATCATGTTATTCAAGTAGCACACAAGGTTGACTTCATCTCGTGAGCTTCAGAAGGGCGAAACCGTCGGTAGAGCATCGAAGGGCTTTCAAAACGCCTTATTGATAGTGTTACTCCTTTTTACACTAAGCAGCGAGTATAATTTTACATATTTCATTCAACCATATAATCACAGCAGATTACTCTCTCCGATGGCCACAATGACCTTGCGCGTTTCAGTTGGGAGCATACTGGCACACCTGATTTCTAACAATGTTTAGTAGACCGGATTGCAGGCAGATCCTGAATAATGAAATATGATTAACCTCATAGAAAATTCACATATGCTAGTTCCTCATTTTGCAGAACGCCGTTACGTATACAGTTTTGGGAAATTTCTACACTAGCCGTTAAGTTTACGTAATGATGGTTCAGATCCACAACTCCTCGACTGTTTATGGTAGTCATGAGAGATGATTTATCCCACGATTACTGTGAGATATTGCCCACTTCTATCTGAACACCCTTCTGACATAACCAAAATGGCCTAATTCCTTTGGATTTGTGCTGACTAGCGTGAAGTAAAATGCCACTTATCAGTTTAATTGTGAGTTTGTTTCTGGCGCATTACTACACCGGGTTCCACCTCACTCACTGCATCTACTAGAGTTATTCCAAGCCCCAGGTGAGTAGTTTATTTGTTGTGGGTAAAGTATGAACACCGTCCACTCACACACCGAACAAACACATTGTTGCTTAAAAAGTTCCCTTTAGACTTCGAAACACTCGTCAATAGGGGGGGGACTTTTTTTCCGGTTGTTTCGTTCTAACGCCGTCCTACGTTAAAAATACTGCTAGAGAATGGAGTGATTAACCTGGCTATATGGGGTAATTAGTGTTCTGAATAAATAATGCTTGGTTAGAGGCACACAGCAGCTATGAAGAAAGAGGACGGAAATCGTATAGTGGTCCTAAGGTAGCTGTTTTATTCCCAACACTGTAAATTCAGCAATAGTTACAACATTCAACAAAGAAGCATTGTTCTTATTTATGATTGCTCCCCTCACTGTGGATGTTAGTTCTGTACGATGCAAGCTACGTTGTGTGTTACGAAAAATCTGAAATACCATGTGTAGTTTTCTTGTGTTCGATTAACTCAGCATGATATATTCGTAATTCTCACTCGGAAACAGAGACTCACTTGTGCTTCAACCCACCAATATGTGTATAACGACAGCTATCTAGTATCCACAAAACTCCTTATTTAACTCTTTATTATCGTGTGTGCGTGTGTTGTAATTGGTGATAGAAAATAGACCAACTGAATCCAATTGTTGTGCATTTCACAAGCTTGATTCAAAATAATTTAACGTGCCTGTCTCTTATGGGACGCCAACTGATCTAATCAGTTATCATGGAAAATTCTCACAACGCATCTCTTCCAAACCAGGCAGTTCAATCCTTACATGAATAAATGCTTCTTGTGCAATGAAATTCAGAGTCGCTAGATGGGGCATAAATCCTACCTACTGGTTTGATGGTTAACATATCAGATATGTCCAAACCCATCATCTGTCGCATTTGTTGACCAAAAACATCCTTGATCCGCACATTGTGACGATGACCTGATTTCACGCATTTGCCCGCAAGTCCGAGCAACGTTTGATTACTTTTTCAACTTACATGTCTCAATGCAATCGGTACTCTCTCTTCCATCAACAAAAGTTCGTTTACAACAGCACTCTGGCTCAGAATCTGGTGTTTCCAATTACCCAGACACTTGCTGCTCACCTAGGAACAATAAGCCATTATCGTAAACGTTCAGGATAGAGAGACCATGAAGTCGGTGCAGCCTGCCAAATATGCTAACCTGAAAACGAATATGGCTTCAATGTGAGAGACTCAGCTGAATTCTAGTTAAATTCCTCGTTTCTAATATTCGCCAGCTGGATGCTTAGTACGAATTCGACACTGAAACACATTGCTGTCAAGTTCACGGAAATCTCTGACATCCCAGTGCTGTAGACTTATTTGATGAGCCCTGAGAAGTGAACAACTAGGGCTGGCTACAGAAGATTTTCAACAACCGTATGAGTAGTGTTTTTCATCGAGTGCCTTGTTTGTGTGGAAGAGTGAAATCCTCATTCGTTTTTTCAGTGCCGGTCAACATCGTACGATAACATTATATAGTTTCTCTCATTTTCATGCATCAGTTCTGTTTTTCTGAAAATTCAAAGATGAATCAAAGTAGAAAGAATACATTTAAGGATAATTTATAGGCTCCGAACCAACTGTTGTGGAACACAGACGATGAGAAAACGAAATTCCGCCGCCCCAAGCTTTTACAAGCAACCTGCATTTCAACCTTATATTCGTTGAGTGTGGGCAAGAAGTGACTAGTTTTCATGAGATCTAGTTCAATAAATAGGTATTTGGCCTGTCATCCCGCACTTTATTTATATGTGATTATAAATGGGCCTTTCAGGGTCCTATGCGGCCTTTTATTCATTTATTTCCTATGGGAAGAGTTTCCCAGAATTCGTTAAACGGTATCAATTTTTAGCTTCGCGACAGTGAGCTAAACAAAGGGCAATTACCACCAGGGTTCACCAGCGTCCCTGCGAGCTGACGACCGTGCGAATCTCTGATCAACATCTTTAAACTGTCCCTCCCACGCCTGATGATGGAAGTCACCCAAAGCTTCAAGACCGACCTCAGATTCCTGATCTCACCTGTCTCTGTTATGCGGGAAGCCAACGAGGCCTATTGGGTTAGTCTATTGGAGGACACTAATCTGTGCGCTATTCATGCCAAGAAGTCCACAATCATTCCCAAGGACTTCCAGCTTGCACACCGCATCCGTGTTGCGACTCTTGTATGTGAGTGTTGAATCAGTTCAGGACGTACACTCTCACCATGCAATGTACTTTTTCAACTTTTGTTTATCCGTAAAGTTTTGATGTCCTACGGTTAAATTTGGGAGCTTTCTTAAAAAGAGGGATTGTCCTTCAGCTTGGTTACGGGATGAGGGTACTGCATGAACGAATGTTCACTCAGTACTAATCGCCAAGTGACACAGATGCCTGCAGAAAACACTATATTAGTATACGTTCATCAAACCAAAAGCTGATTAAAAGTACACAAGTTTCGACAAAAAAGCCAAGAAATATCTGATTTTGTTTCAAAATCTCAAGACGGAAGAACACAAATACACTGTTGAGGAAAAGGTCAAATGTTTCGTATTAGTACGAAAGTACGCGTAGCCAAGTTACCCGCGGGAGTGTCTGATGCCAACCGATGCAAGACTTATTTATTAAAGTACGTATGCATGGAGGCAGTATCGAGCATCAACTCGCCCACAGTTTTTTCCAGTCATCCAGCATCCGGTCGCGAATGCTGTAACTTTGGCTACCGGAAGGTAACTTTATCTCTTAGTTCGGGAGACTTCTAAAATACGTATCTGTTCTACGCCATTGGTATTTTATGCTCACAACAGTCTGCGGTTGCATAAAACACCAACAAGAATGTCTATATACTGGAAGCCCAGAAAATTCCCAACCATCTTAACTCCAAAAATAAATTCTGTTTGAAGGAAACACGAGGAAACTAAATAAACAACAAAATATCACAGTATCATAGCCCAACCCAGTAGAGGAGCAACGTACAAGAATCACAACGAACGCTGACGGTCTCGCATTTGGGTAAATTCTTGGTAAATCGCGTATCAGGCTTGCTCGAGAATTCTAGCAGCATCCTGTAGATTGGATGCTCGTGAGACAATAACTTACATAGTGCAATTCCAGGAAAATATCTCCATTGATAACGTGTGCACCCTAACAGGTCGTTCCACGCTCGCCACATTTTCGAGTTCATCTTAGTTCCCATTGTGACATGTTTGAAAAAGCGGTATTTCTGAGGTAAATTTCTTGATAAATTAGCAAGTTTGTTCGTTTGAGGTAAAAACGTTTCCGATGTCAATGGAACACTGAGTTGGCCAAACGGCCAAAGATAGGCTACACAATGCATATCTTGGCCTGTAAAACACTTATTTTGCGTCTTCAGAGGCGTAACAATAAATAATCATTATTTCGCCTTTCGCTTCCTCCATCCAGAAACCGAAATTACCTGGCAAGAAAGAGTCGGATTTTCTTACGCATAAGTTACCTAGTCAAACTAGCCTCATTTCTTTTCTTACCCGCCTAATTAGGTTGCTGTATGTTGTATGTTGTATGCAACAATACTGCTCAGCCCAACAAACAGATTGAGTGTCATTACTACCTATATACTCTCCACTTGCACAATGTAGCCCCGCGTTCACGGACTTTGGAACGCGATTTACTTGTGCCATTTTCTACTCTATCTGATTACTGTCCATTTAACTGACCGTAGCTTAGTGGCTGCTCCAAGAACAGCCTCTAATTTCTCCAGCTTGTAAAGTTTTATGGAAACGTTTCTCGTCCGTGGTCGCTTTACTGATGCGCTGCAAGTAGCGAGAAAATCCGACATATGAGTCTTTCTAACTGGTTGTGTGAACGCTCATTCAAAGCATGTTGCTTATCTTGATAGATCAGGGATCCACAGACAGTGGCTGGTAACAAGCTAGCCATGGGCTTTAGATTTGACCGGATTTTAGGAAAACTCGGGACCGGTACCCAGGGAGCACAATCACAGGGATTCTTCCTATTACAAATGCTGTCCAAGTGCATCACTACCGACCACATGACATCAAAATATGACAGACTTTCGTATGATTATTTCCACCATGAAACTTATGCCAGTTTCGATTTACGGTTCATCGAAACCTAGATATTTCGTGCGAACCCGGAAATAAGACTCGACGTTCATCGGTTGAAACACTTTCCACCCAGACTACGAAATTTTTAAGTACGCATATGGCGGCCGCAGCAATAGAACAGTGAAGTAATCGACTAACCTCAAATTTGGAAATACTTGCCGCTCGCTTACTTTACCAACAATCCTTCTAGCCATATGTGCACAAAATTCCATGAACTACTATGGTCCTTCGTTAATGGTGTACAACATCTCAATATTGCTGAATGTCAGTGCAGCATGTATTAGTAAATCGCCAGTCAAAACGACCGACAAGAGAATTAATGAACGGTTTCTTCTACAGAATGAACATTTAGCCTACGCTTAGAATGTTGCTTTTCTGGTACCTGGCCCATATTTTTCGTCTAAAAACTCTACTAAGGCTAGCATGACTAGCCTTGTGTGTACCAACCAGTTAAGCGGGTTCCTAACTACATTTTTTACTTGAAATTTGCATCTTTTACATTCGGATTCCTGTCCACCAATTGCTTTGCGTGTTATTTATGCCAAGTTGGGAGTGAATTTGTTACTGCAATGTCCCAGTTACATAGTCGAACTACAAACTGTTAGGAACCCTCTGCTTTTCTATTGATATACCATGAGCTGCAAAGCTAATTTTCTACTAAACTCGGGCTGTACGATTGTGCAAAGTGATTTCATGTGACCAGTAACCCAAGAGACACTCAATGCACTCACTGCTCTTGGATAGGAAGTAAACCCTGGGTGAAACCAAATGAAAGTACAGAAAATTATATTAGACTTCTTGACCTTCAGAACCTGGCTAGATTTTTGATAAACTATAGAACGTGGTAATCGTCTAAAAAACTTTCCTATTGGTTTGGTCCACTAATTCTCTACATCTATTATCAGAGTAGTTGAAATGTTTACCATCCTGCTGTATCGTTTGTCACTTGGAGGTAGAGAATGAGAAAATTTCAACTCGAAGTAAATTTTATCCAGCTACAAAATGACGTCATTCTTCAGGCTTCAAACTCTCCGTCTGTACTAGATATTCTTCTCTGATATGCCACCTGAAAATGAGACTAGGGCCCAGGGTTGATCCGCTTTGAGCTGACAATCAGAATCCATCAAGCACATTAGTACCGACACCAGCTTTAACACACAGTAGGCTCGTGCAGTTGCAAACTAACTCGAGTTATCAGAAGGATTGACTGTTTATTTTTCACTCATTCCCAAAAACTACACAGTACATTGTTTCTGTGATCTTGTTCCCGATTGTACTTGTTCGTACATGTAGCAAAACACAAGTTTTATTATCAAGTTCCAAGCCTGTACTCGTAAATTTTAAGGTATCCTCGAAGGAAGATATTGCTGAGGGGCGTTATTTTTTACAGTCTTAAACAAAAACACAAACTTGAGAAGTCCCAATTCAAAA